GCAGGGCAGGCCTTGAGCATATCAGGTGGCAAGAGGCAAAGGTCTGAGGGGATTTGCTCAATCCACTTAAGGGCAATGTCATAAAGAGGAGGTTGGGGGACATAAAACAAGCTGGGGCTTCGCACATGGTGAACTGACACCCCAGCCTCTGGAGGGTGTGGGGGATGAAGCCAGAGGGTAGGGAGAAGCAACCCCCAGCCCACAGCCCAGGCCTGGTGGGTGCTAGGAGGGAGGGAGGGCTGGAGGTCCAGACCCAGTTCCTCTGTGGCTCATGTCATCCCACAGAGGAAACTATCAGGCGATGGGCACACATAGGCCAACAGTGTGAGCCAATGGACTTCTGTCCAGGGAGTGATGTCTGTGGCATGGAACCTGCCAAGTTGTCACACTGCAAGCCCAGATAGAGGCACCATGTCCCCAGCTGCTTAGCTGCCCGTCCACCCTAAATGATGGGAAGGTAGCACCCCATGCTCTTGTTCCCACGCACACCCAGGCCCTGCTGGAGGAGGGCAGGCCTCCAGGACCCTGAGCAGAGGACGCACCTTCTGGAACAGGCATGACACTGAGGAGCTTGAGGTGCAGGCTGGGAACAGGTGCCTCTTGGACGTCCTTGCTTAGCCTGTGCACCGAGGGCAGAGTGAAGGTAATCTCATACCTGTGCAGGATCTTCAGAAAGCCAACCTGCAGCAGGAAGGGTGGGGCAAGGAGGCACCTTCACTTACAGCCTCTCCCTGGGACTGCCCAGGTTGTGCCATCTGTGATCCTGTGGGCTTCTGCACCTGCTTCCTTGGGGACCCCGGGGGGCCTAACTCCCCCCACCACTACAGCTGGTTCACACTCCCAGGCCCTTCCCCTGAGGACCTCATCCCCACAGCTCGGCCAACACACTTCCTCGGTATCTGTCTCATGGGCCCCACAGCTCTTCGGTGGTCCATTTTATAGACAAGCAAATGGAAGCCAGGAAATGACTGGCTTCAGGCCTCCCAACCACTCCTGCCATGAGTGGCGCACAGCAAGGCACCAACCACTGCCCAAAGGGGAGGCTAAAAGTCCCACAGCCTGCCCCCACCACTTCCGGCACCTTCCCAGAGCCAATAGCCCAGAGTCAGGGACACTGGTTCTCTTGTCACTCATGTGGAGACAAGGAGCAACACAGATTGCCCGGGATGAAGGATGGGGTAGAATTAGAAACACAGAAACTAGACCAGCTGTGTCAGTCTAGAGCTGGCCCCCAGGCCTGGCACCAGCCACTGAACCCAGGCTCCCGCTTGCCCTACTGGCCTCTGAACATGGATGCCTGCCTGCCCACTCAAAGCCTCACTGTGTCCAACGGCGCTGACTCGGGGTCAAAGCAATTTCTGTTGTTCAGACACAGTGCTTGGCAACCGACACCTTCTGGGATAGATGCCATACTTGGAAACTCCAGTTGTGTGAAGGGTCACAAGCCAGGGTGGTTGTTGAGCAGGTAGCTGGACCAGAGTGGCCGACCAGGAGGCCCAAGTGCTGTACTCACAGGTCACGTGCACATACTTTCCTGCTCAGTTTCAGGGGCTGGATGGCCCTGTCCCTGGGGGCCAGCTGGGATTGGCTGCATGGAGCAGTTAGCCTTTCAGTGGGATCAGGCCGATGTCACTGCCTGATAAAGTTCATTCAGTCTGTGTGGCTCCCACACGCTGCAGGTGGAGGGTATACCTCTCAAGAGAGCTTTCTGGCTGGACCTGCCAATGGTGACCCTGGGACTTAGCTGCACCACTTGCAGAATTTTCAGGGGAAATACTCAAAGATGTGCAAAAAATACTCACCACTGCCCTATTTATAAAAGTGAAAAATAGAAACAGCCGTAACACCAGGAATAGGGAGCCAGCTAAATCAATGGTGATACATATAATGGAATACCAGGCCATTGTAAAATCTCGTGGAAAAGTATTTACTGACAGAGGCAGGAGATGGTTCACAACGGAAGCAAGCAAAACACAGTGTTACACTGTGATGCCAGCTTGTTTTAGGAAAAAAAACCAGGAAAAAAAAGCTGGAATGACACACATCAAAATATTAACCATGGTTATTTCTGGATAGTATGAATGTGGGTATTTTTAGATTTCTTTATAGTTTTCTCTATTTTCCAAATTTTCTCTAATAGACATGAACAGATTTTGCAATGGAAAGGAAGGGAGAGGGAGCTATTTTTCTTTTAAATTTTGGTTCACTCTGTTTATTCCCTTGGGGAAGTTATCAGCTGTAGGAGAAGGAACAAGAATTTTCGAGTTGGGCAGAAACGGGTATGAATCTGGGCCCCTCGTCAGGGTGATCTCAATAGACCAGATGTCCCACCCCACACCACACCCCTGTACTCGTGCTCAACTCTGGGACCCTGGCTTGTTGTCCAACCTGAGGGCCTCACTCCCTGTCTCCCCCAATCCATCCCCTCCAGAGACGTCCTCCTGCCCCTCCTAAGTGAATATGGGATCCGACAGTGTCCTAGCAGCTGGAGAGGCCCTGCAGTTGGAGGGTGTGTGAGGTGTGACCGATAGGAGAGGGGATAGGAGAGGGTGATGCTTCACCAAGCAGAAAACATAAGGGTGAATCAGCCAGAAGTTTGACAAAGAAAGTAAATAAAGTCACACCTTGTTATCAGAATAATTAGCCTCTCACCTGTGCGACATACATACATTCTTCCATTTCATTCTTGCACCAATTCTATGGGGTGTGAATTGTCTTCATTTCAGCGAGTGGGAAGCTGAGGTGACCTTCTCAAGGTCACAGAGCCAAAATAGCAGACCTGGACTTGAACCCAGGCCTGTGGCCCCACAGCCTGAACACCCACCTTCCAATGCTATTGTTGGGGTGATGCTGATGATAACAACAGCTCTGCTCCGCTCACCTTATTCGAGCAACACTCTAAATGCACTCACCTCATTGCAATCTCACCACCTCCTCCTTTACAGATGGGGAAACCAAGGCCCAGGGAGGGATAAAGATATGCCTATGAAGCCAGCTTAGAGGAAATGGGACAGGCCCAGGAAGCCATACAGGGCTGAGGAGAAAGTGGAGAGAGTGATGCTGATGATGGGTGGAGGTATGCACATACCTTGACCAGAAAGCTGCTGTCACTCTCCTGGGTGACCATGACCACCGAGTCATGCAGCTTCTCATCAAAGTGGACATGGCTCTGGGAACCTTCTGCATCGTGGCCTGCTGCAAAGCGGATACTCCGGACTCTGGGCTTGTTGCCTAGGAAGAGAGTGGGAGAGAGCTCCAGGGGCTGCAGGCTTCTCTACCACCAGGAAACAAGTCCCTCTTATTGCCTCTTCACCCGCTGCAACTGCCCTTGACATTACTTAGCACCTACTGGCGAGGCTCCTTTCAGGGCAAGGCCACATCCTATTGGACACGGGATCATAAGGCTTGAAGCCCAGGCCTCCCACAAAAAATACCCTGAGAATGGGTGTCGGGGGGAGTCGGGATGAGCTAATATGATCCCTCACTTAGAGGGGATAAGACTACCGCCAGAGACAGGAAGAGACAGTCCTCTAGCCTCTCCCCCAGCCCCAGGTGGTGCAGGATTCGGCCCAGGCCTCAGGATCCCTGCCCAGGGCTCTCCTCCACAGGACCAAGCTCCCCATCTCTGTACCTTCTCTTCCAAATATGTCTGTACCTGAGGCTCCTGCCTGTCCCTCCTGATGACCCCAACCTGGTAGGGGTTGGGGGCACGGACAGGAACGGATTCTATGGGACTTGCCTGGGGGTGGGAAAAACAAAGACCGCCAAAACCCACACTGGGTCCACCCACCTAGGAGAAGCTGCAGCTGCCCTTGACTCATCGCTGATCACTGGCACAAAAGATGGAAGAACACAGTGGAGCCTCCTGGACCCTTCCCAGAGATGCCCTTCCCTCCTCTGCTTAAAACCTCACAAGGCCCTTAGCTGTCCCCAGCGGGGTCAGGTTATCTCAAGCCAAGAGGCAGGGGGTTGAGACAGGCAGAGTATCAGAAGCTGGGCTGAGGGCCTAGGCTGGGGGAGGTCCATTTTGCCAAGAGCATGACCCCAGTCCTCTCTGGCCCCCATAGTCCCTAGGCCTCCCAAAAGCCCTGCTCAGAGTCCATCTGGTGGGAGGGCCTGGGCTAACCCTGGCCTGAGTTCTTGGACACTCAGTGGAGGCCCAGGAGAGCCAGCCTGGCACTTCCACATCCCCTGCTAAGCGCCCCCCGACCTGACCCTTAAATCTCACCAGGCCTCCCTTGCCTAAAACTCTCCATGAGTCCTTATGGATTCTGAATGAACCCAAATTTCTTTCCACAGCCTGCTATGGCTCTACCCACCTTCCCAATCTCAGTGCTCACCCAAGCCCCTCATGCCCCCAGCCCCCCAAGTGGAACAGGGAAACTGGAACATTGGGACACAGACACACACCTCCACGGATCAGCACACCAAGGAGCCAGCAGAGGTCCCCAGGTTCCTTGCTAGGGCTTGCGTGTGCCCCAGGACCTGGCACAAACACTGGTGCAATTACTGATATAATTTGTGCTCATATTCAGATACACACACACACACACACACACACACACACACACACACACACACACACACACAGCCAATGCAGTCCCCACATGCAACAACACCTCTCTCACCAGAACCCACTGGAAGACCCTGCAAACCCCACCGGCCAGGAAGGCACTCACCCTTGTTGGCTGCAGCCATGGACACCCTCCCGGCCTTGGGGTGAGACACACAGCTGGACCCCGCGTCTCAAACTCAGCAGTCTCCCATGCTCCAAGGACACCAGCAGGAGCCTGAAGAGTGGGGAGTGGGGAAGCATGGGTCAGGGCCACCCATGGCCTGAGAGCAGAGGTCTCCCTTTAGGAAAGACCCAAACCCCTGTTGCTCTCAGCAGCCAAGTGGTGCCTGCATCCTCTAGCATAGGGGGCTTCTACCCCCACTACTCCACCCACACCCCACATTCACCAAGAGCCCTCACCCCTGCTTGACACCCTGTTGACCCAGGGCTTGGCCAGCACAGGACTCATGGGCCCAGCCCACCTGAGGCTGGTGGGAAGGGCAGTCTGGAAAGGAGGGGACTTCTTTGGCACTTTCCAGGAGCCAGTTCTGGAGTTGGTGACTCCAAGGGCCGCACCCCCATGCATCCAGAGGCCACGTTATTAAGGTCACACACCTAGTACAGCTGGGTCCAGGTTAAACAGTATGCTTGGAGGGGAGCAAGAGTAAAGGGCCCACGTAAGATAACATGTCCTTGGAGCTTTCCGTCCCTCTGATAGATTGGTCAGGGCTCTATGCAGAACAGGAATCTGTGGAGGGGTTGTCCCCTAGCTCAGTTCGCCAAGGGCAGGCAGCCTCAGGGCAGGGGCAGTGGAAAGCGCCCCCAGGAAGCCTGTGTGAGCAGTTTGACCCCCAATGAGCTGAGTTGCAACCATCTCAGCATCAAAAAGAGTAATGACAGCAACTGATGGAAACAGATGGAATACATAAAATTGGAGCATTCAGAGATGAGAAAAAAAGAAAGTAAGACAAACAAACCCAAACCCTCATTTGTCACCACTGACAGTAGCAATGCCCTAACTTTTTACTCTGAAAATTGGCAATAATGAGAAATAATTCAGCCTGTCTCCCGGCCTTCCTGAAATGAAAATGCCCTGGTGGTTAGAAGAAAAGCTCTTCTTTACAGAAGAATTCTCGCTATTAAATAACAAAAGAATGACCAAATGCCAAGTAATTCTGCAACTCCCAAAGAAGCAAATGCTGGAGGCAATGAGTCAGTGGATGCTACACCCAGAGCAAAAAGGATGACAGAAGTGGATGCTCACAGATGCCCAAAGTCCACGGACAGATGACCTAGGTTCTTAAGGGGAATGACACAGATTGCAACGGGAGAATGTGACATCAGCCAGTCACACACTGGGTCCCTCACCCCTCACTCACAGTAGAACCTGACACACTGATGTCTCCTGATGTGAGGCAGCACCAAGTCACAGTACCACTAACAAGGGCACAGCATCTGCCCAAAATGTCTAACCTGGGGATCTAATCAAGCGCCTAGCTCCAACTTCTGGTTTACTGAAAACACAGAGGCTAGAGGAACAAATTAAATGACTCCATGAGAAAAAGCGAGACAAACCCAGGAGGCAGAATATTCTGTAGGACAACTGCAACGTTTTGTTGTTTGTTTGTTTGTTTTTCCAAACTGCAAAAGGAAAAATAAAGAAGGGGAGGTTGGTAGTAGATAGGGGATGGGCAAAAAACAGACTGTGGGGCTGCCGTCTGTTTTTTGTTACGTTTTATTTGAACGCAACAGCACTTGTTTATGTTGTCTAAAACTGCTTCTGCACTAAAGCAAAACAAGTTTGAGTAATTGCCACAGAGACCATGTAGCCTGCAAAGTCTAAAATATTAACTACCTGGCCCTTCACACAAAAAGTTTGCCAACCACTATTCTAGATTAACACACAGAGAGCAAGAAGGCAGGATACTCTGTGGGACAACTGACCTGGTTTATTCCATTACACCAGTTACAAGAAGAAAAATAAATGGGGTAGGGGGTTTCTAACCACCTATAAAAAATACATTTGGGAGAGAACTGAGAAGTGTGAATAGGACTGGATCTTAAATGACATTAATAAGAGCTGATCTTGTTTGGTGAGGTAATGGAATTATATTCTGTAGAGAAGTATGTCCTATTTTTCAGAGATACACACTGAAGTATTTAGAGATGGGTGACCCACGAATGACCTTGGCTAGTCCAAGGAACAAGGAAGAGAAACCACGGGGGTGGGGTGGCCCCAGAGTCAGGGGCAAGGACCGTGGGAGACGTGACCCTGAGATCTTTCAGGTGCCTTGCTGTCCTGGGAGCCAGCCTCACCTCCCTCCCCACCTCCCAGTGTGAGAACTCCATCCAGGCCCAACCCCTACCTCATGCGCAGGGTGATGAGCTTGGGTGCCAGGAGCCCCCAGTAGAAGGAGGCATTAGGAGATGCAGGGAAAGGCAGGGCTTGGGTCTCAGGAATACAGGAGCAGCCAGGGCAGGAACAGCCTCAGGCCAGCACACACCACCTCCCTGTCCCACCATTGCAGGCTAGCTCTCAGGCCCCACCCAGGAAGGGGGTACTATGCCCCCACTCATCTCTGGCCAGGACAGCTCTGGGGTCAACCTCAGAAGGGCAGCCCCTTAGTCCTGGGATGCTCAGCTTGTCCCTAGGGAGCCCGGTCCTTGGAGAAAGGCTTGCCCCTACCCCACCCACTCCAGCCACCCTCTCAGAGCATGTGAAGTGTCCAAGCACAAGGGTACCAGGCCCTCTTCCTACCTTTCGGAGAGGCTGCTCCAGCCACACCTCTGCAGCCATGGCGGAATGACTGTCCGATGCCCACAAGGTACCCCCATCTCCCAGGAAGCCTGGGTGAAAGTTTTAACTAGTGGCTGATGAGCAAAGTCTCCTGGGAACCCTTCATAAAACACTCTGACCCAGTACATGCAGGGCCCCTCCCTGTCTTCCCCCACAACCCACTGCCTGTTGCCTGCTTGCCTTTGCCCAGGCTATCCCCTCTGTCTGGAACAATTCTGTCCCCCATCCACACCTTGGCCTGGGTCTCAGCCCCAGAAAACCTTTCTTAGGGTAGCACAAACCCTACCCCACCCCTGCCCATCTCAGCGTAGGCCTGAAAAATCTTTAAAAGGATCCCCTTTCTCACTTCTGGGATCATTTGGTATCTATGTTCCTCACCTTACAAGGGCAGTGACTATTTTTGCCAAACCTTGTGGCCCCAGCACCCAGTCCAGCACCTGGCAGGGAGCACCTGTGTTCGGTTCATATTTGTTAAATGAATGACCAAATTAAGGGGAACCCAAGCAGAGGCCTTGGTGGGCCCCTAGGCAGTTGTGGGAGTCACTCTCTTGCCCGATGCTCTTAGGAAGAGCCCCACCCTACTCTCTTAGCCAACCGGGGCCTGGAGGGCACACCCCTCCCCCATCTCAGAGTGTGGCCTCCCACTAGGCATTCTTCTAGGCTTGACACAATCAGCTGGTGACCTGCCCCTGCTGGCCCTGAGATGGAAAGCCCAGAGGGCAGGACCTGCATCTCAAGTACAGCCCAGAGCTCAGGCCAGAGCAAGCAGAGGGGGAGGCAAGTGACTTCAGGAGTCCAAAGGAGGTTGAAAAAAGCAAGCCTCCTTTCTCCTGACAGCCGCTGTCCCCTGGAAGCCAGATTCTCATCTACATAACTCCTCATCAGAAGCAAGAGGAGAGGGTGTGGAGCCTCCTCCCGCTGCAGCGGTGTTCACAGGGAACCACTAGGAACCTCCAAACCCAGGCCTCCTTCCGTGCCAGCCAGGTCCCAAGCCCGGCCCAAGCTGCAGTCTCCCAGAGCCAGCAGGGACACCATCAGGAGCATGGGCTCCAGAGCCTGGCAGTCCTGGTTAAAATTCAGGCTGCACAGGCAAGTTACTTCACATCTCTGTGCCTCAGTTTCCTCATCTGTAGTGAAGGAATAGGCAGTGGCCTCTTCCTCAGAGGGTTTGATGCAGCTGGTGTCTGAAGCTGTGACAACGCTCCCAACACCACCCCCACCTTTGCAAAAGCAAACCCCCAAAGGCCTGGTTTCTGAAGCAACAGCAATTTCAGGGCAGCACTGGCAGAGAGGCACTTCAGGCCAATCCTGGAACAGCCAGGAATGGCTCTCAGGGTGGACCCCCCGGGAATTCGGCCTTCTCAGAATACAGCTCAAGGGTTGAGGGGCCTCCTTCCCCATTCCTTCCTCCTCATGGCTTCCCCCTCCCCCACTCCCTCCAGCCAGGTCCCCAGGGATTGCCAGAGAACAGATTGCTGGGAGCCTACTGTCCCCCACACAAGGCAGATGTGGAAAAAGTACATTCTGAGAAATGCCCATCCCCTGAAAAAATAAAAAAATGATACCATCACTCCCAGATGGGCTGTCAAGAGGTCAGGAGTAGGGCCATGGACAAGTCACAGGATGAGGAGGGCTGGAAAGCTAGAACAAGGGCCTTGAAGGATTCTTTGGCTCTCTGTTACAGAGAAATTGGGGGACACTTCTCTCTGGGGGACAGAGAGCTGCCAGCTCAGGTCCCTTTCAGCTTTAGAAAGAATGGCTGCTTCAGGGCTACCCTACTCAGGGCAGGGGTCAGCTTGGTCCAGTGGAGCCTCTGGCATGAAGACAGGCCCAGGGACATGACAAATGGACAGACAGATGGACAGATGGATGGTTATACAGGAACCCAGAGTTCTCAGCCCCCTAGACTCCTGCCCCACAGGATGCTAAATGCTACTGCAGGCTGTCCCATGCTGTGGACCAAGGCTCCAGACTGGAGGGAGAGCCAAAAGCAGTCTGTCCCTGAGTGGCAAGTACAGCTCCGGCGCCTGGCACCTTCTGGTCCTTTACCCCATAGCCGAACCCCTACATGACCTCTTGGGGCCTCATTTTACATTCATTCCTCAATACCCATTCTCAACCTGTTCTGGGACTTTCTGAACCAGGAAACTTTCCACCTTCCCCACACCCCCAGCCCAGGGTTCGGTCCTGGCTTAAGCACTCAGTCCATCAGAAGCAATGTCCAGCCTCTCAAAGGCTCAAGCTTATAAAAAGAGTGCCCCCTGGGACCACACTGTTCTGCCGACTCCAGAAATAGGACTAGCCCCACAGTGGGGAGCCTGCATACCTAGAACAATGCCTGGAAAGGCAAGAGGTCAGGTGTGGCTGTGGCAGTTTTACATCAGCTCAGTTTGGATGTGACTCCATTTCCTCCTCCCTCCAGCAGGCCAAAGGTGCAAGGATAAGCCGGGGTTCGCTCTCTCACAAATGGGTGGAGCAGGGGTGAACCGCACCCACACAATCCCACACCTTCCTGTCTCCCCAAGAAGTGTTGCCCTCTGAGTCTGCCCAGCATCCCCTCCCCACAAAACCCTACCCCTAAACCTCAGGTAGAAGGTGCTTAGACCCCTCTAGCCTCTGGACCACTTACCCCAACCAGGCCCTACCCTGGGCCAGTGACCTGGTGGTTCCAACAAGTAGAGGATAGGCAGGGTCCATGGGGTGTCTGCTGCCCCTGACCTTCAGTTCCCCGGATGGAGAAACGCCCTATCCCCACTTTCCAATACCAAGATTCAAGAGGAAAGGCAACCCAATGCCTCCTTTCTCAGTCCAGCAGGGCCCCTGCTCACTAACAGGAACACTGGTCCCGAACCTAAATCGAATCCCTCCTGCAGCGTGACAAAAGAGAGGTGCGGACCAAGTCCTCAGACGCACCAGGGGCCTGGGTGTAGGACCCTGTCCTGTATTCTCTCTCGCCTCCATCCCCGTGGGTGTGGCGCCCCCATCCCCGCCCCATTCTCACCTTCTTCGAAAACAAATGCGGCTCTAGACGACCTCCCCCCGACCCCCCACTTTCCATCACACCTCTCCCGGGCTGCAAGGCAGTGGCTCTGTCCCTCAGAGATAATCCTGCGCCCTCCCCACCCTCACCTCTGTTGACGCAGAGTCTTTGGAGCCCGCACTCCCAGACATCACCGCCCTCCTCCCTGAGGGTGCCGAGGCACGCGAGGTTCAGAGAGGCTACTCGTCCAAGGTCACACAGCGAAGCGGTGGCAATAGAGGTGTGGGGGGGGAATGCTGACCCCATTTACGCCCCCGGCCCTCACAATGCCACACGTGCCCCCAACAGCGTCCCGGGGAAAACACACCAGCTACGCCAGCTAACGATCACCCGCGTCCCCGGGGCCTGACATCCCGCCAGCTCAGATGCCAGGGAGCCCTCCCAGGACCGGCCAGGACATTGGAGCCCAACCCCCTCGCCCCAGCCGGATGGGGTCTCATGCACCGACTGCCTAGGATAGAGGCTAGACTGGAAAGGGATCTCCGCAAGCCGGGAGGAACCGGGAGGTGGCGGAAGGAGCAGTCTCACCGTGCACTGCGCACCCCGGGGCCGAGCCGAGACGCCCGCGGCAGCGGCGGTGACGGTAGCGGTGGCAGCTGGGGACTCAACGCCGAACACGAGGAAGGAGCCCCGCGCCGCCACCGCCCGCCTCACGGGCACGCCCCCGCCTCCGCTCATTGGTCGGCCGTGGGGGGTGGGCAAGGATGCTTCGGACCAATAAGCCGGCGCCAGAGAACCGCCAACGGGCGTAGCTCCGCTGCGTCACGTGCAGGGTTCTGCGGCTGCGCCACGAAAGCCTTCGCTTAGCCAGAGCCCTGGGAGTTATCGCGATGAAGGCAGCAAGGCCTCCCGAAGTACCCAGGGTCCTGCTTGGAACAGGAGTGAGAAAGAGAAGGAGGAGCGCCTCAAATAGGCCCCGCCCACGCCCCACCTTCAGCTGTGGGGTTTGCACCTCCCGCCTCGGCCAGAACTGGAAAGTGGCCTCCCCTAGGCTCTGCCCACTCGAACGGTCGGACGGCGGGGC